CCTTAGTTCACTGTTGGTGGGATTGCAGACTGGTACAACCATTATGGAAAACAGTATGGAATTTTCTCAGAAAAATAAAAATCGACCTGCCTTTTGACCCAGCAATTGCACTGCTGGGATTATATCCTAAGAATCCTAAAACATCAATATCAGAGAACCTATGCACCACAATGTTCATAGCAGCACAATTTACAATAGCCAAGAGTTGGAAGCAACCTAGGTGCCCATCAGTAAATGAATGGATCAAAAAATTGTGGTACATATACACAATGGAATTCTATGCAGCAGAGAGAAAGAAGGAGCTACTACCTTTTGCAACAACATGGATGGAACTGGAAAGCATTATGGTGAGTGAAATAGGCCAGGTGCTGAAAGACAAATACCATATGATCTCACCTTTAACAGGAAGCTAAACAACAAAACAAACAAGCAAGCAGAAAAAAAAAGAGACTGAAATAGAGAACAAGGGGATAGTGACCAGAGGGGAGAAGGAAGGGAAGTTAAGGGGAAAAAGGGGGAGGGATTTAGAGGAACAAATAGGAAGGACACAGGGACGAGAACTAAGGGGGGTGAAAATGGGAGGGAGGTGGGGAGCAAGGGGTGGGGGGAGGCTGGGATGGGAAAAATAGACAAAAAACTGTACTTGAAAAATAACTAAATAAAATTTAAAAAAATTATTTTACAACCTGATATTTTTGAAATTGAGTCACTTTCTGCATCATAATTTTAGGTGACTTCATGATTCCTGCAGGTACCATATCAGTTATAGAATAACATATTTAGGAGAGGCTATAAATGAGGATGTTTGTCTACATTGTAGACTCTGCAGTGTGAGGAGGAAAAAAATTCACTGATCAAAGAGGCACTAATCTTGGGTCTGACACCACTTAGGAGCACAGGTACCCAAAACATGAGTGCTTTGAACCAGGTAAATTCCCAGGTGTTTTTAAGCTCAAGAATTACTGAGGCACCATCAGCAGTGATTTCATTGCTAACCACCATATGAATGGCCCTGGAGGTCTGTAAAGATTAGTCTGGAGAGAATAACCTATCTTCTGGGCCCATATTCCCTGTCGCCCCAGAGAATCAATGACTATTATATACCTGGAGCATATGTGTCAAGGAGATGAGGGAGGGGATAGGAGAGACACCACCCTTTCCTAACCCTGATATAGGCTGCATTCTTACTTCATTTCCTAAACAACACTATGAGAACTGGTGTTACTGACCCATCTTAGAAACAGGGCCACTTAAATAATGAGTTGAAATAAACCAGAATCTAATCTCTATAGCTTTTTGCTATATAAGATAACAATGCTCAGTATACTCTTGTGCACATCCACACACACTCTATTGACATTGGCTGGCCATCAACATTGGCCCAATAGTCATCTGAAGATTGGGAATGCTGGCAGCTCACATCTACATTACAGGGGTGATGTCACAAAAACGAAATATCTGCTAAGGATTATTAAGCACTGGCAGCTGCCCTCTCAGGTAATAGCTTTTGAGCCCTACAGGGGCAGTTAAAGATATCATTGGAATATCATTTTCAAGAGAGAAGGATTCTAAAATTCCATAATGTCTACATTTGGCTCTACTGTTTGGGAAGTGAAGAAACTTTATAGTCATGTGCATTTTGTAAAGAGGTAATTTCCTGCTTCAAATAGCTAGACTTTTCATTGTGGCAAACTGCAAAGCCCCACCATGAAGGAGAGTCTTTCTCAGCAGGGAGTATATCCTTGCACAGGAAGTGAGTCAACCATGCATCCTGACTCCAGGACATGCCAGTGAAAGGTGTTATTTCCAAGCCCGATTTGCGGTAGTGATTGAGTCCCAACACTGTCCCTTCACTAGAGAACCTTGAGTCACCCATTGGCTGTCCTTTTGCTCTTCAGACCAACACCTCATCCTTTCACTTAAACATCTTTACTTCTCTCTCATCTTAAAAAAAAACCAATGCCTAAACTGAAAGTGAATCATCTCCTTGACTTCTGGGTGTTCATACCATTATCTTCCCCCTTCTTTAAGGCTTGCTTGTAGTTTGAATTCTGTTTGTTAAAACTCTACTTCTCACTCATTTTAAATACACAGGCAACAGGCTTCTGTCTCTTTCCTCTCCCTTCCACAAAGTCCAGAGAAGGTGTCCTCCCTGCATTCCCAGGTAACTTTTTAGTGGTTGTATCCTGTGGACACTTCATTGTCTGCTTGTACTTCCCCCTGGCCTCTGATGCTCCCACACCTTCTTCCTAGAACTCTAGAACTTCCCAGAATTCTCTGCTCTTGTTTTCCTCCTACTACTATCAGTCCTTCTTAAGTTCCATCAAGGTTCTTAAATGTTGGAATTCCCCAGAGTTCTCAGGACAGAACTCTACTCACACTAAGTTATAATTCCCAACAATGATGACTTCACCTGAAACCACCCCTCCTGGCACCCCCACTGGTGTCTGTATCCACTGTTGGCTCAGGACTGGGGCTTTGTGGGCTACTAGGCATCATCTCTGGATAGCTCCCAGACACACTGAACTCATCCTATCTTAAATCTGCCCCCACAGCACTGCTCCTCCACCAGTGCTTTCTTCCAGCTAGTGGTTCCACAACCTGAGACTTCTGTCACCCTCAACCACTAAGCAGCACAAGCGAGGGCTCAGAGGAAGAATCCAGAGTATGCTTCTCAAGTCGCTCATTTGGCAGCCATGTCATGAGAAAGATATTACCTATTGTCGCCATGGTGGTGTTGTCATGATTAAATAAAATAATTTGTGTAAAGCACCCTACTATGTAAGCATTTGCCTCTCCTTCTGTGTAATCCATATTCCACATAGACCACAATGCCACTTCTGTTTACAGGCATTAGCATCTCCTGCAAACCCTAACTGCCATACTGCACATCTTCATTGTCAGGACTTCACACCAACCTTGGCCTGCCACCTGTGCGCAGGCCCAGACAAACATCCTCCTGCTTGGAGACACTTCCCACTACCCAGCTGTCTGCCTGGATGGCTACTCATCCTGCAGGTTTCAGCTTGACCATCCTTCCTTGGGAAGTTTGGTCCCAGACAGATTGACCGTCGGGGCAACTTTGCCCTCAAGTCCCCCCATCTGCCACAGATGAAAATAATACTGCCAAGACATGATCTCCTTGGGGAGGAAAGGTGGTCAGTCTCTCAGAGGAGAAGGGCCAAGAGCCTTTTCCTCAATGGGCTTTTATTGGGTTCATTTTGCACAAGAATATAGGTAAGGATCAAATAATAGATAGCATTCAAAGAACTATGAGGGCTTATTCTCAGTCAGGGTCAGATAGCTAAAGAGCCATAAAACTTTGAGGAACAAACTTCTTGTTTGGACTCTTATCATTTAAATGAGAGCATTCTAAACAAAGCAGGTTTCACAGGATCTTATATATTCTTTCTTAGGCTTGATTACCTGGAATTCGCTCTAGCCAGCAAAGAGCTACACCGCCTTCCCAGTCATAAGTTTTTAGGCTTAAATGGATTAGAGCCAGGAAGCACTTGTCCCAGATGGAAACAGGGACTCAGGCTATGTCAGAATAACTGGGGGGGGGGGAGCGGAGTGAGGGTCTATCACTCCCTCTTTGCTGCAGCTCCCTGAGTCTTTCCTTGAGGGCCTCCCAAGTGATCATGTCTAGCTTAGGTTACCCCTCCTCTGAGGTGTCTTACCCATCACTGACTAACCAACCAAGCATTAGGGGCAGAGATGGATGAAGCAGAAGCAATGCTGCTGCCAGGGAAATAAGCTTTGTCTCCTTAGTGGCCCATAGTCCAAAGGTCACTCACTCAGCCTTATCCCTGGGGGGAAGGTACAACTCCTGAAACCAGGCAGAGCAGTTCCCAACAGCTGACAGCTGGCTCTGCACCCCCAAACTATCCTGTCATTTCTTTGACAGAGTGTGTGCACATCATTGCAATTTATTCTAGTGGATTCTGTACCCAGTCCCTCCCTCAAACTGGACACTCCATGAAGAAAGATCTGTGTCTCTGTCACTTCTTGACCTCAGTGCTTCAACTGTCCCAAGTGCTAAGCCTGTGAGTGAACAGCATTAGGATTCCAGCAGGGCTCACATGGGTAAGGAATTAACGAAACATGAATCAGGAGTCCTGGGGATAAGGAGGGGTGAGTAGGGTGGCACAGCTACAAAGTTCACCATCTGGTCTCACAGGAAAAGAAGAATACAGAATCTTTTTAATAAATAAATATTAAGTATTTAATAAAATATATTTAACTTTTAAAAATTATTTTTAAATATTTTAAATTTTGAATTCTTGATGCTGGGTTTCATCCCATATTTAAATGTTGTTTTCAAAGTCAAATAAAATGCCCTGGGTCTGCATTTCTCAACTTTTTTAGCCCATTTTCCATCCATCTTGATAAAGCAGACACCTTATACTCTCACCTCACCTCACTCCACCCATGTGACAGTTACCTGAGGGGGTCATCTTCTCATACTGTTAATCAGTTATTATAACACTGGATATGGTTTTTCCAACTCTGGTACCCTAGAGAGTCAGATATTTATTCACCCACATCTCTCACATCTCAGAGTTCAAAATGAAGAGACTCACATATTTCCCTAACCAAAGCAATAGGATTTGGTGGTTGGTTTTACCAGTGAGTGGGGTATATCTTACTTGGATGCAGAGTTGTTGCCTTTTCCAGAGTTTCCTGTTATGGCTCTATTTTTTCACATTTTTTTATTGTTGTTCAACTACAGTTGTCTCCATTTCCCTCCCCCGCCACTACCTCCTACCCCAGCCATCCCTACTTCCCACCCTTGATCCTACTCCCCTTTGGTTTTGTCTATGTGTCCTTTATACCTAATCAACAAAACAAACAAGCAAGCAAAATAAAACCAGAGACATTGAAATTAAGAACAAACTGACAGTAACCAGAGGGGAGGTGGGAGAGGGTAACGGGGAAAATGGAGAAGGGTTTTCAGGATGCAGTTATTTTCCTAATGGCAAAACCTTCTTCTACACCAGGTGCAGTTACATGATTGATAATGTGGTTCTACTGATGAATGGCACCTTGCAGAAAAAGTCTGTGAAGGAAGTTCTGAAGAAGTGTCACCCACTGGGCCATTTCACAGAAATGGAAGCTGTCAACATCACAGAGATGCCTTCTGATCTCTTCAATGCAGTCCTGGTGGAAATACTCTTAGGTATGAATATGGATGTGATGCTATTGCTGCCTCGAGTGCTATCACTGTCATTAGGAAATGTACACCCAAATCACAGTTTTTCCCATGTACTCATGTGTCATTCTATAGGAATTGCCAGAAGTGGAAGGGACATAAAGGAAACATCTATTCCAGCCCCCTCATTTCTCAGATCAAGACAAATGGAGTTATTGGATTAGCCAAAATTCCTTTGGCTTTTTTCCCATGAAAAAAAGATGCATTTTCACTTTTATTAATAACTTTATTGATTTGGATATTTTGATTATGTCGGACATCTCCCACTTGCTATAACATTGGTTTTTCTCAATGTCTGAATTTGATCAAGATCAACTTCAATGCTCTGCCCAACTGTGTAGCATCATCATACAGCAAAAACCGTCCAGCACAAAACTTCACAAACCACTTTTGACATGTTCAATCCATCACAGCACCTTCTCCCTACACTGCACAAATCTTTTTTTTTTTGCATTTCAGTTCCATTTTTACCTTTCTTGAAATAATAAAGCATAATATGGAGAAAACATGTATTTTTCTTCCCTCTTCACTATTAAAATAGGTACACAAAAATTCACCAATTTTGAGTTTTTTAAATTCATGCTGGTATGACAGCTATCACAATAGAGTGTAACCATATTGTTTTGAATGAAGTTGAAGACAGTTATGCACTACCAAAGCCACCTTATGAAAAATAACAAACTTTTTGGTCAAAGCAATACCTGCCAGGGTCACCTACAAACAATTTGTAGCTAAGAAGGAGATGAGACTCATCTCCCAAATTCCAAACCCTTGTACTTTGTACTAGACCACAGCAAATAAATGATAGAACTTATAATTTTTCAAAACATTAATTTTGTAGCTGTTTTTAGGGTTAATGCCTTCTCTTTTTATTTTAAATTATAAGAAACATTTTGTTTTGGAAAGTATAGAAATGCCATTTTTCTGAGATGCTCAGAAATGTCTAAATGACCTGAAATAGCTTTCAAAATGGTGTTGGGACAATTTGGTAAGCATTATCATTAGGAAATTTTGGATAGTAGCAACATACTGTTAATCACTTGTCAAAATACTTGCCATTTTGGACAATAAAAATAGAAAAAATGTGTCATCAAGTGTCAAATGCTAAGGGTATAGGTAACAGAGGAAGGAGGATGGGTTCACATCTGTGAACACAAAGCTGGGCTCTGCCTGGTCCCAACAAAATGACATGGGGCAATTCAGTCTCCCTTATTTCCCCCATTTTAGAGTTTTGAAAACAAAAGAAGACACTAAGTACAACTCAAAGTTTGGCACACAGTTAAGGTCACAAATGTTAAGTATTTCTATTTGATAATGAGGAGACCAGAAAGTGAGCCTTGAAGTGAACAATTCCAAGCATTGTGGAGATTAACTCAGTTAAAGTATATCCTATGTGTAGTGTAAGGCACACACATAGTAAATGCTTCATAAACAGTTTTATTGCCATCAGTGCTGTTAGGTTGATTGCATCTGTGGATTGAAATTCCACTGTCTGATGTTCACTAGTGAGCATGGGGTGGTGCATTCAAGAGATATTTCCTACTGTTTATAATCATGCTTCTGATTAATTTATTTTATATGATGACCTCTTCTCAGCTCATTATTTTAAGACTGCATGTCCGAAAATACATTAGATGAACTGAATATTGAAATACTGTGCAGTAAACTGTACAAGGTAACTATTTTTCCTAAATAGTATATTTTTCTTAATTATATAATATGTCATAACCAGAGTTTGTATTAGAAGTGATTTTAGCCAAGACCTGCAACTATGAAGTGAGGCATATTTAGAGTGTACATACATGTCAACTTTCCCAACCAGAAGATTGTTGAGAGGAAGTAACACTTTATTTTTTTCTGTATCCCCACCTCTTTACCTGGAACATAAAAGGTGTCAATTGATGGATGAATTTGAAAACGACTAGCATTTATAGTGAACCTCCTGTTGTATAGAGCTTGTCCTTCATACTATGAAGGACAGAGACAAGCCTGTCCATACAATGTTAATCTACTGACAGTGGACAACATATCAAGATAACAAACTGCACATGACATCCTCTGTACTACTTTTCATGGGCTGGCCAGCTGTCTGTCTGAACTGTGCTCCCATCATCTGAGGATTTCTGTGTAATAGGGGCTGAGTGAATTTTGTCTTTTCACTTGTATACCACAGTGTCTTTGGTCATTGTACAATGTACTTTAATAAGAAAAATTCTTCCAAATTTATTCTGAAATATGTCTGTATGGGAGAAGTGATTCAACTTCCATAAAAGCATTTAATAAGCCATGAAAAACTGGAAATTTCCAAAGGGAGCATATATTCATCTTATTGTTTCATGATCTTTCTTCTTTTTAAGTCTTACCTGGTGGCATTTTATAAATTCTGTAAGAATCACGGTGATGTCATAGCAGAAATTATGTGTCCCATTCTTGAGGTAAGGAAGATTTCTTGAAGTTTTTATGTCAAATAATGTGCTTACACTATAATAATGTGCTTACACAATAATGTGCTTAATTTATATAATCCTACTAATATTTCTTTTTCTTATAAGCTCCCTTAGCTAAAATAAAATAAGCAATATATTTTATTTTTTGTATGTCATTTGATGCCTTTAGTTATGAGTAGTATTTTCCAAGTTTACTACATCAGAGGGTTATTTGGAATGAGAAAAGAATAATGCTTATGAAAGTTTGAACATGATTCATTTTGCTGTATAGTATGTAGAAAAATTATAATTAGTTAAGAGTTTAGTAAGCTGTCCTGAGATATCCAAGTTGGCTGAGGAATAAGTGGAAGCTACACTAACCTCCTACCAGAACTAAACTGGAATTACAACTAAATTGCAGAAAAATCATCCTGAATAACCAACTGAACACTAGCTGGAGAGAAGCCTTGTAATCATGGACAGATGAGAGTAGCCACATCAGCACAATGAGACTGGTAGGGAGTGCAGAGGAGGTGTGAGAGGATTGGCTGGGCTCCCATGGGCAAGACAGCAGCTGAAGTGCTAGAGAAATATTTCAGCAGCCAGGGGGTAACCCCTGAGAAGGGCGGGATCTAGAGCTGCCCAGCCTATAGCACCAGAACTTTAAAAGAAATCCAAATAACATAAGGCTGTGAAAAGCAGCGGGGTTTCTGTCTACCAGGGAGAGATGAATGAAGTTGCAGAGTCTTTTAAAGGGCCAGCACACAAAATTCCATTTGTAGCCTCTTATCCTGGCTTATGGAAGAAGGAGGGCAGAGTGGACTAGAGATGTGTGAGGAGGTCTGGGTCTGGTGGTTCTTGGGAGAGAACTAAAGGAACAGCTACCAGAATCCATGTGCTTAGTCATTCCCCATACTGCATAGGCCATTTTTATAAGGCAGAGTACTCCTCTTCAGATGGCATCAGCCTGAGGGGAAGCATAGCTCTGCCACAGGAATTTCTCTGCTCTACCTACTGGTGCTAAAGCCATGCTTCTGAGGAGTATAGCTGGAAGACATTCACTGATTAACCCTACAGAAAGCCTGCAGGCTGAAGCAGATTTCTGGAACGTCTGAGACTTCAGCTAACCCTCTCCCAGGCATGGTGCTGATAAAACCTAGCTTGATATGCAGCCTGGTACTTTCTGCACACAAATATGCTGAGCAGAGAGAGCCACACATTGTGGATCACTGATAGCTCCAAACAGGGTGCTCAAATCCAGTCACAGTCAGGGTTTGACTTAGTTCTGCAACACAGTCTTGCATAGAAACAGACACAAAGAAACAGGCCCCAAGAAAGTAAAAGAGATATCTCCAGAAGAACTAGATGTAATGGAGGCAAGAAATTTATCAGATAGAGAGTTTGGAGTAATGATTATAAGGATACTCAACAGCATGAAAAAAGACATAGACACCATAAAAAAAGGATCAGTCAGAAATAAAGAATGCCATATCTGAAATAAACAATACACTAGAAGGAATGAACAGTAGGTTAAATGAAGCAGAGGATTAAATCAGTGATTTGGAACGCAAGATAGAAAAAAAATCAGGCAGAGCAAGTAACAAGAAAAAATAATTTAAATAAAAATGTGGAGAGCTTAAGAAACATTTTGGAAAACATGAAGTATAACAACATCTGCGTCATGGGCATGCCAAGCAGACAGGTGAACAAGCAAGGGATTGAAAACCTATTAGAAGAAATATTGATGGAAAACTTCCCTAATCTGAGGAAGGGACAAGACACAAAATTCCAGGAAACCCAGAAAGTCTAAAACAAGTTGAACACATTGAGGCATGCACTGAGACACATCATAATTAAACTGGCATGGCTTAAACACAAGGGGAGAATCTTAAAAGCTGCAAGAGGAAAGCAGGCATTGCATACAGGGAGCACCAATTAGACAGATTACTCAACAGAAGCATTTCAGGCTAGAAGGGAGTGGCATTTCAGTGTAATGAAAAGAAAGGACATAGGGGGAGGGATTTGGAGGAACAAATAGGAAGGACACAGGGATGAGAACTAAGGGGGGTGGAAATGGGAGGGAAGTGGGGAGCAAGGGGTGGGGGAGGCTGGGATGGGAAAAATAGACGAAAAACTGTACTTGAAAAGTAACTAAGTAAAATTTTTTTAAAAAAAGAAAAGAAAAGAAAGGACTTACAACCAAGGCTACTTTACCCATCAAGGCAATAATTTAAAATCCAAGGTGAGTAGCTTGGGGACTTCCGCCAAGATGGAGGCATGCCATGCCTTCTCACACAACCAAGTTTAGAGACAACTAAATATTAGCAACAGAAAACATAGCCAGAACACAGAAAATTAAACTTTTCGGAAGTCTGTTAACAACAAATTCTTCAGCCTGACCGGTAAGGGGCGAAACCAGCAGCTGGTGGAGCAGGGCTGCACAGGAAAACTCGGTCAGACGGACTCAGATGCGCAGAATCCAGGCGCAGGGTTGGATGTAGTGAGCAACCGAGCAAGTGACCAAGCCAGTGACCTCGGGGAAACAGTGAGGGAGCAGGGCTGTGGGTTGACTGTGGTAGGGCATTTGTGCATGGATAGACAAGTGAGGGAGTGGGCGATTGGACCAGGACCCAGCGGGTCCCCGTGGCAAGCAGCAGCGGAGGGCGCCGCCATTTCCCTGCTCTGACCCCACCTCCACATACAGTTTCACAACCCAGCGACTCTGAGTGGCCCAGCCCTGGTGAACCACCTAAGGCTTTGCTCCTCACCCAGCAGCAGGAAACAGCAGAGGGGGCCGCCATTTCCCCGCTCTGACCACGCCCCCACATAAGCGTCACAACCCAGCCACCTGGGAGTCCGAGGTTCCCCTCCTCACACTTAAAGGGCGCGAACAGACCAAAAATGGCTCAAGAAGATCTCAAAGCCCCAGAGCCTATAAATGTAAGCGATGAAGAAATAGCAAAACTCTCAGATGCACAGTTTAAAACACTGGTCATCAGGATCCTCACAGAACTGGTTGATTATAGCCACAGATTAGACAAATATATGAAGGTGAAACTAAATGAAATGAATGGAAATGCACAGGAAACCAATAGTAATGAAAAGGAAACTGGGACTCAAATCAAAGGAGTGGACCAGAAAGAGGAAAAAAATGACCAAACAGAAAAGAAGGAAGAAACAAGAAATCAAAAAAATGAGGAGAGGCTTAGGAACCTCCAGGACATCTTTAAATGTTACAACATCAGAATTATAGGGGTGCCAGAAGGGGAAGAGGAACAGCCATGAGTGGAAAACTTATCTGAACAAATAATAAAGGAGAACTTCCCCAATCTGGCAAAGGAAATAGACTTCCAGGAAATCCAGGAAGCTCAGAGAGTCCCAAAGAATTTGGACCCAAGAAGAAACACACCAAGGCACATCATAATTACATTCGCCAAGATTAAAATGAAGGAGAGAATTCTAGAAGCAGCAAGAGGTAAGGGGACAGTCAACTACAAAGGAGTTCCCATCAGACTGTCAGCTGATTTTTCAAAAGAGACCTTACAGGCAAGAAGGGGCTGGAAAGAGGTATTCCAAGTCATGAAACCCAAAGACTTACATCCAAGACTGATCTATCCAGCAAAGCTTTCATTTAGAATGGAAGGCAGATAGAGTGCTTCTCAGATAAGATCAAATTCAAGGAATTCATCATCACCAAGCCCTTATTATATGAAATGTTAAAGGCACTTACCTAAGAAAAAGAAGATAAAAAATATGAACAGTGAAAGGACAGCAAACTCACAGTTATTAACAACCACACCTAAAACAAAAGCAAACTAAAAGGACAGCTAGATCAGGAGTGGAAACATAGAAATGAAGATCTCAAGGAGGGTTAGCAACAGGGGAGTGGGAGGAGGAGAAGGGGGGAAAAGGTACAGAAAATAAATAGCATAGACAGTAGATAGAAAATAGATGGTGGGGGCAAGAATAGTATGGGAAATATAGAATCTAAAAAACTTGAGACACATGGTCAAAAACTAAAGGGGGGTAATGGGGATGGGGAGGTAGGGTGGAAGGGAATGAAGGGGGGAATAGAACGACTGTAATGGCATAATCAATAAAAAATAAATTTAATTTAAAAAAAGAAAAAAGAAAAGAAAAGAAAACCAAAGATGAAATAAGGAACTTCCCAGAAGATAAAAAGTTAAAGGAGATTGTTAACAACAAACCAGTAGTATGGTAACACACGTTAATGGGCTTGCTTTAAGCAGAAGAAGAAAAACAGAAAGAAAAAAAGAGAGGAAAGCATTCTAACAATAAAATGGCACTACATATGTATCTATCAATAATCACCTTAAATTTTAATGGCTTAAATGCTGCAACCCAAAGAAACAGGGTAGCTTAATGAATGAGAAAACAAGACCCTTATATATGTGGCTTCCAAGAGAACAATCTTGAGAGAACTTCCGCCAAGATGGAGGCATAGGTGGAGATACCATGCTTTCTCACACAACCAAGTTTAGAGACAACAAAATATTAGCAATAGAAAACACAGCCAGAACACAGAAAATTGAACTTTTCAGAAGTCTGATAACAAATTCTTCAGCCTGACCGGTAAGAGAGGCAAAGCCAGCAGCTGGTGGAGCAGGGTTGCACAGGAAAACTCGGTCAGATGGACTCAGGTGCGCAGATCCCAGGCATGGGGTTGCAACAGGTGGACCAAGTGAGCAACCCAGTGAGCGACCCAGTGAGTGACCATCAGACCCAGCAAGGGCACAGAGCAGTCGGGTTGACTGTGGCCACGCATTCAGGTGCAGATAGACCATTAGGGAGTGGGTGGTGAGACTGGACCCCAAGCAGACCCCAGTGGCTAGAGGCAGCAGAGGGGGCCGCCATTTCTCCGCTCTGACCCTGCCCCCACATACAGAGTCACAACCCAGCGACCTGGGTGGCCCGGCCCTGGTGAACACCTAAGGCTCCGCTCTGCATACTTAACAGGAGCGAACAGACCAAAAATGGTTCAAGAATAT